TAAAGAGACGCTCGTCTTTCACTTTGGTCCTTAGCTGGTCCCATTTGCCGGCTGTTTGAGGATGTTTGGTGTGAAACTGCGAAAGCCGACGTCGGGTTCGACTGGCGAGGCGTTTACGAGGCGTCTAGATCTTGCTGACGCGTAGCGCTGATTTGGAACGTTGGACCAGAAACGACGGGCTCTATTCATTTTCATAGTTGCTGTCGTCCAGTTTTCGACATCGATGTTTTCATTTTGAAGCTTGGGGCCGTAACGGATATGCAAAAATACTGGCTTCGCTTAATAACGGGGAACAATCAGTCTCCATTTTTCCATTTGTCAGTAAGGCACACAGTCTAATGCTATAAACTTGCGCAAATCGCCCACTTTAACTGGATGGCTGCGACGAAACATTATCGATTCATGCCGAACCAAGAGCAATTCGATATCCCCGCCCGCGGCGGCTTCCTTCGAACTCGCGGCGTTCTGCGACGCGTCAGGCGTCAGGCGTTGCGTAACGCCGTCGCATGAGCAAGCTCATCGGCTTTTGCTAGGCGGATGGTGGTGGTTATTAGCGTTTGGGGGCACGCCAACTGCTGTGGCCATTTGGCGCTAAAAACATCATCCATCAGGGGATGGTGATGGAGCGGCTGGATGGATGGAGGTCAGAGACGGGCCGCGTGCCCTATGGGAGGGGTTGTGATGAGTCCTGCCACAACTTTATGCTCCGTGAACGATCTTCCCCTTGGTCGAAGCGGAGACTTGTAAAGGTAGTACCTCGCGGCTTATGAACTTACCGTGAAAGGCAATATGATGATACAGAATGTTCCGCTAGAAAAATTGAATAGAGCTTGGCTTAAAGGGCATTACCTGTATAGCCCCGGGCCTACGCCGAAACTGCGCCACGGGATCTGATCAAAAACCCGTTTGTGTACGACGGAAAAAATGGAACCAAAGGCAACTTGAGAGCATATGGATATTGGCAGCATGCAAGCCCCGCCGGATGAAAGGCGAGATGCGGTAGGGGATACGTGACTGGCTCAAAGTCTTCCTTCGATTTATTCTCGAATTGTGCACACATTGTATGGGACGCCAAGGCGTTTTTCTGCGCTTCATAAAATTGTGTCATATTTTTCCGGTTTAAGATCGAATGACCCCTCGATATTGCGATTCTCCAATTTCCGAGAGAGCCTTTCCGCAGTCATTCGCTGTGTGCGCGGCAATATTTCTACGAGTTTCAAAGTTCGACTTGAACCGGGTGGCCGTCGGTGAGGCGCCACTAACGTGGACCATAAGTATCTCAGTATGCTGTGTTCCAAGCTAATCCCATTTAATATTTTCAAGCGCCTACACCGTTAAGCTCTTAACTGAAATATTTGCCCTTCCACTCCGTATGTGCATTTCAACTTGGCTGCGCTTGTCCCCACGTCTATCCCGTTACGGCAAATGTGGCGCATGTGCGACACTTGCGAAGTGCGTTGCCGGTGAGCCGCTCTGAGGTCGTCTGCTGCTGAATGGTCACGTGATTAGAATCAAATAATTGGAAAACCGCACGTGCTTGTCATCGGAAAGATGTCATTGCCACAATAGCAAAAAGGCTATTGCCGAGTCGCCTGAGAACAATAGCTGGGGGACAAAACAAAGCCAGTCACTGACCTTAAGCGAGCGATCCTTTGTAACGATCTGACACATTGGTCGGCTGCACGGCTATCGGCTGTTGGTCGGTTATTGGTATATCCTTGGCAACCACAAAATGGGACTTAGCTAACGAATTGCGCTCTTCACAGATAGGTCGATCCATGTATCTGGGACTTATCTCTGGATCAGAGTAAGTTCGATAACAAATTGCAAGTGACACGGATCATGCTTGAATTGAATTGAAACAATAGTAGGCACATGTTATTTGACGCAGACTGAAAAGGCCCGTGAGAATATTCAACAACGCTGCTTATGCTCCCCCAGGCATGCCATGTGAAATGAAGCCGAAATACTTTGGAGCTATATGAGAAATACCGTAAGAAATAGTGTGTAAGAATCAGGTATGAGAGATATTGTACCACAAATTAATTTTGCAGCTGTCGTTTGCACATGGCGGGACTGCAGATGCATAGTGGACTAAGGCTGGTCTAGGTCAGATATGAAACGTGCAAAACCGACAAGCTGGTGGTTGCGTTTTTAGTTAAAACTGGTGGATTGCATGGGACTAGATTCTATAACCACAAGCATGAGCATGCCGATGTGAAAGCGTTTAGTGGATGTAGAGTGCCTTGTCGCGCTTTGCCTTGTTTCTGAGGTCCCTGACCTGACTTCAAAATTCAAAGAGCAGGACTAGTTGTGGCAAGCAGGTTAGTAGAAATGTTAATGTAAACAATAATTGTAAGCACTGTTGGTAATATCCGATCACATCAGTAGGGCGCCAGGTTTGTAAAATTAAGTTGTCATGTATAACACTATTATCCTGGGTCTTAACGGATCTCGGAAATTTTTAAAACCGGTTCCATGGTTTACCGGATTTTTCTCGTTCTGGAACTAGAAACCAGGAACTGCTGGAACTGATTCGCGGGAACAGTATCACGAACCAGCTTAGGCTGTTTGGTAGCATGCATGGTCGAGTCTGACAGCATCACAGCATGCCTACTCGTCGCAGTAGCCCAGGGCGACACTGCCTGATGAGGTTACCAGTCTGCCAGTGTTCCAGAAAAAAGACAATGTGACTGGCCCTGTGATATGCCATCTAGGCTGAGTTAGTCCTAGCCAAGTCCTGTCCCTCTGACACTGCAAACCGTGCTAGGTAAAGGTATTCAGTTAAAACCACACCGTTTTAAGCAGCTCAAACCAGCCCACCGGCCAGATGGCCCTGATGGCCATGGCCGAACTATTTATGTATGCGTCGAATGGCCTAATACGGAGTTGGACGGTTATAATGGCGCCGCAGCTCGAACCATGGCGCCTGAGACAGTTTGTCCATGGCGGTCCATGGTGGCGGGTGCGGCAGTCCATGGCGGTCCATGTCCATGGTGGCGGGTGCTCTCTCGCTGGGACTCGCACCAGTGGCGATGTATGCCGAGAGTCGGCAGCGGCTTGGTCAGAGGTTTGACGGGCGGGCCGACTGGCAGCCGGTGGCCGTCAGCCGGTCGGTGGCAGCTCCCGCTGGAGCCGGTGTCAAGAGGACAGCCCTTCGGAAGCGAAGAGCAGCTCCTGCAGGCCGTCGGCGGTGGGCAGCGGCAGGAGGGGGCCGCGTCCTAGGGCCAGGATTCCTCGCCGCGTGGGATGAGCCGAACTGCGACGCAATCCGACGCCATGACAGCGTCAGGAGCGTGACGCCGGATTGACGACGTTCCGTGACGCACGGACACCCGTAGCTCGGCCCGTAGCCGCGGACAGGCGTGGTGGCCCCGGGATTGTAACGCCGTTGGTGGGCGAGACGATGCCCACCTGCGGATATCGAGCGAGGCACAGGGCCAGCAGCATCCCACCCCGTGACATAAAGAGCCGTTACTTGCGCTTAGAGATTGATGCAGCTCTGATGATTTGGTATTTTCAGTTTTTTTAAAGATGTTACCATGTCGCTAACATAGGTCATTCATTTGTGGTCGTTTTACATGTTGCCATATTCCCATGTTATGTTCCCATATTATGTATAACAACAAACAAATGTTTGTTAACGAATGTAAATGATACATCATGATAAGCCCTTCCAATCTTCATAAGTGTGAATACTGTAAAGTACTGCAGAGGGCGCAGAATGACTTTTTCCGATGTCGCGGGGTAATTAACATGACGGCCGGATTTAACTGAGCTCAAAGTTATGACGACACCACTTTCTCTGGCCGATAACAGCGCTAGTGCCGAAGACACCGGAGTGTACCCCACTGGACCTAACGACCGAATTTCTGGCGTCATTAAGAACAATGCGTCTCAGAACGAAGCTGAAAGGCTTGATAAGAAACGAGTATTTTAACCCTGCGACCACCTAAGAACGACAGATACCCGTCCTAAACCTTTAAAACAAGTTAGGTCAGCATGTAGCTGTCGGGTAAAACCAGTGGTGTACCCCATTTGCGGGAGTAAGTTTCAGTTTCAAGTTTTCAAAGCGGAAGCATTTGGGGCTTGTAGCCACTTACCAGTTTATCTACGTTGATGTAATCCGTGTGAAAGTTCAGGTTGTCGTGAGTGTTACTTAAATAGAATACATAAACTTTGTTAAGGTATTTTGGCAGGTCTCTGGCGTCAACTATGCGGTTGGTGCAGATTGTTCAAAAGAACACAGTGCGGGTGCCCAAAGACCCCGAAGTTGTCAGAAAACTTCGAAGGTGTTTCAAGAAAGGTTGCACGATCTGTGGCGTCGTTAGTCACGTGGTGAAGGTTAAGTGTGTACGATTGGCTTGTGCTGTCGATTGTCTGAAGTTGTCAGACTCAACGGCCACCTTCGGAGACAGAAGAGGAACTGCCTTCGGGTGCAAGGCGTACGCAGTTGTAGACATGCCCCAAGCGGCGTCTTGTTGAACTTCATACGTTTGGCGGCCACGCCGTTTTATTATGTACACGTGACTTGAAAGCTTAACATTCTGCTGTTTGCGCAGAATGGCCACGCTTTGCGGGGCTGAAATCGGTAGTAAGTTTTTTATGGCGCCGCAGTTGCGTACGCGGTGACGTACACCTGGGATTTCGCGATAATTTGAAATGGAAATCAGTCCTTGCTGAAGTTTGTCACGCGCGCTGCCAACAGTTGTATACATGGCTCGTTGTTGGTGCGTGAAATCCGGAAAATTATAAAACTCCATCGTTGTGATAACAGTACATGCGTGAATGGAACACAATGCAAACGTGCGTTCCAATTAGCGGATTGCGTGGATTCCACGAAACGCCCAGCGGCCAGACAATGCCCAGCGGTATGCAGTTCGGTGTCGTTGTGATGCTCTTTTTATGGTGTTTACAAAGACACTGGAAGACTTCGAAACACGGGACTACAGCACCAGCTTGCAACACGGGCCAGGGCATAACATTCTTCTTCTCTGCAGGTACCTGCGCTTGCGAAGTCAGGAGACGACCTTCATAACGAACATGGCCGCCAGTGACTTCTTATGCTCCGTGCTGCACTTCATGGCGGTCTACAGTTCGTTCCAGCACCGCTGGTCTTTCCACAGATTGGGTGAGTTCACGGTGTTTGGGGAATCATAGGACATTGATCCGAGCCGAATGCCCGGTCGAATTGCTGTGATCACTGAATTGGCATTTCGTTCAGCTGTTGGAAGCAGTCGTTGCAGGAAGCCGTTACGTGACGTTATTCGTACAGATCATCCCGCTTCAACACAATAATTTGGACGCATAACCGACTTGCCTTTTCCCAGACCACACTCCATCGTACTTGCCATTGTACACTCCACTCCATCGTACTTGCCATTGTATGGATCGATAAGTCTGGCACCCGGTGCTTTGTTTCTGCGGTTGCCGTATGCCACGTGAACATAAATCACTGGCCCGAATTGTTCTTCCCAATCCAGTCCATAGTCGCCCAACCCTCCACCACACAATCGATGACCCTTTACCTCGGAGCTGGTCACTGACGAGAACAATTCCGAACCAACGGCACCACGTTCCGAAGAAAGCCGATGACGTCATTACGGGATCATCAGAAACACGACGATTTTTCTATGCCATCCGGGTTGTAATGAGTCATTAGCTCTGGATGGTCTATTTGTTCTACTCTCCCTCTCTGCCTGCCTCCCTGCCTGCAACCCTCCCTCGCTCCCTCCCTCCCTCTCCCTCTCTCTCCCATTCTCTCTCCCGCTCTCGGTACCTTCCTCCTTTCTTGCACCGTCCCTCTCTCCCTTTTTTCACACGACCCTCTCCCTCTGCTGCCACAATGCCCATCAGCGGCCGTCGTCCTCCCCGCCGTTCCGGGGACTCCCCGGTCCGCCGCTGCATCTTCCCACACCGCTCGGCCGTGGCGCTGCATACTGCGTCACATTGTGTGTCGCTCACTGCGCCCCTCTCTCCCTTCTCCTCCCACCGCACGTGTCATCTATCACTCGCCGCGGTCATCAATCCTCGAATCTGCCGGCGTGCGATGGTCCCGTTACATAACTGACGAACCTCCCCCCCCCCTCGCTAAACATAAGCTTTTCGCGCTGCCATGCATTAGCGTGGCGCACGCCACAGGAGCTACACCACGGCCCACGGGTCCAGGCTGGGCGTGTTATGCAACTTCGGATTACGTTGACAAACTCGGTGTCGAAGCAGATCCGGCCGAATGCAACAGAATAGTAGCTCAGACGGTGTAATGCTGCTGTGTTTTTAATTAAAGGAAGTGTTTCACATTTGTATAGGCTTTCGAACTGAGAGAGCCATTTAAAAGGTCATTCAGTGCAGTTCACAGCCATGCCCTTTTTAAAGCCTAAACCCTCTTGTTTCTGAGCTTGACGCCCGTGTGCTTGTGTAGACTATTTTAAGGTTATCCAGACATGCATGACGCCATAAAATCGTCACGCGAGTACTGACACTTTAACGGCCATGTAGTGCTCAAGGTAACAACAAATGTTATCATCGAATTACTTGCGTCTGTCGTAGATGAGCAAGATTTCTGTCATCAACAGACATCAGTTGGCCCACAACCAATGCAATGCGTTAAGTGCAAGAAGATTGGAACGCAAGTCACATTTTGTGCTAAATTTTACAGGAATTTGGATAAGTTATGAGTTATGACGAAAATAAGGCGAAAAAGGCTTGTGAATCGAATGACTTAAGAATAACGCCACTACCGAATCTGTGAATACAAATAAACAATCTAGCAGCACAAGCAAAGATGCGCGAGCACCATGAAAAGGGGCCAAAACACAAGCATATAATGATATTCAGATTAAGGAAACACGCTCCAGCAAACAGTGCCACCTTTTGGCGAGTGTAATTACTACAAGTGAGTCAGCCCATCCACTGCAGTGGTAATTTGACATGGTCAGTCTGTCATAGCGACTCTGGTGTCATAAAGACATTCTTTAACGTGATCGAACGATGCCGTCATGAGAAACGTATATACTAACCAATGGCATTGTGCTGTTTAAAGCAATCTTTCACACTTCGAAACAAGCCAATAGTCACAAGTCAGATGATTTCACCACATCTGTTGCTTGCCTCAGTATCTTCAAATGTGGAACATTTCCTTAAATTAATATAAATTAGTCGTGTGGATATCCACCTGCATTGAATCCGTACTAACGCAGCGTGACGTAACCCCCTGATGGAAGTATCATTTAAAGATAGCGCACTATCATGCAGCTTCTATGTGTAAATAATAGGCGTTCCGAGCAATGCCACTCTCTGCTCGCGGCATAATGGTTAGTAAGAGTAATTGTTTGCTGAAGAGCCGTTGTGTTTAAGTTTCCTGCCTGTTCAGTCCCGTTTTTCTCTGGTATGGGCAATGACATGCCATAGAATTTGTGATGGGATTTGCCTGTCCACAGACTGGTGCTACATGATGGGAGCGTGGTTTCTGTGTCGCCCCTTTAGCGTTCGTGTGCTAATTTGAGACCATGAGCTCGGCAATGCAGGCCGCAGCCGAAGGATGCTGGGGTGAGGCGGGATGTTGTTTGCCTCCACCCATGAGGTCCAGGGCTTTTCGCTTTTCACCACAAGATCCGTACTCACCGAGAGCTCCTCCTCCCTTCTGAAGAAAACCCTGACTGCAGCTGGCGACAAGCCTAGAAAAATTACACCAATTATGCCAATTTTCGACCGCGGCCGCTAGCCATTCTTTTGGGTAGTGCAGAATCGACGAGCACACTATGCTTGTAAAAATGGTAGATGTGTTACCGTTTCAAGGCTGGTCCTTCATTTAGGCTTTCTTCGTAAGACAAGCGTGTTACAAAGCTGGCGATGAGTGTGATAAACCGCCCTGACACATCCTACCTGCATTTCATGGCGCGGTCGCGATGAAAGGCGCAGAAACTCTGCAGTTTGACCGACCCCGCAGACAGTGAGCTTTGCTTTTTTACCCGGCACAATTAACCACCTGGTGCCGACGCCAGACAATCTATAGGTGTCAGATGTTTCCGGCTCATTCGAAAGTCAGACAACGTGCTGGTGACTGTCGAAGGTTCGCGAAGCCAGTTCTAGGACTGTCTCAGGCGACCGGCCGATATGCCGGACAGGTCCCCGCAATGGTGCTGGTCTCATCTCGGGCGAGATTCAAAGGCTGAAATATGTGTCTTTGCGACGGGCAGGGGGCCATTTGTGCGGTATGACGTGCCTCCAAAGTATGGAGAACATTTGGGTGATATCTGGACATGAAAGGCTGAGATCGAGGCAGTAGACCAATAGACATCAGCAGCGCAGAACTGTACTGAACTAATTTGCAAGTAAGGTTAGTGTGTGTCCAGGGAACCCGGTTATCATCACATTTGTGGTGAAATAGCTACCCGGAGTATTTAGAATGCGCCTCAACGACTTGAGCGACAGCATAGTCCTAATGCTTGCCCTTATTGAGATACGTATGGGAAGAGTTCTATATGTCGCTGAATGCGGAGGTAGTAAGCAATCCGTCTGGCCAGCTCTCCTAGGTTATAAAATAAGCATAATTTTTCAGGTTTTTGTACGCTGCGCGAAACTCATCTGCGCAATTTCAATGACACTCTGTCAATTTCGCCTGGGTCAAACCAAGTTTGGAATGCCTACACGCCTTACTGTTCATTTGCCCGTATTGTTTAACTTGTTCGTTGACCTCCGCACGCCAATAACTCATCATTCCCATCGTTTTCATTTCACTTCTCGTGGATTTATTCTTTGACAGCTTTGTGTAACGTTTAGCTGTATTACATCAAAAAGCCATATTTCGCAAACGTGTCAAAACTAGGAACACAATTTGTCAGTCCGCTAGCCCGCCAACATGTGGCCCGCAAGTGCACACGGGTTTTGGCCGGGCTTTGGGCCGAATATGACGGGCTTTTGCGGGTCAAAACATTTTGACGACAAAATTTTGCGCTTTAGCTGAAGTTTAAAAAAAACATCTAGAAAACCATGGCGTGCTTCCAAACACAATGCAAGCATGAAAAGTGATATTTTTTATTTTTGTATCAAGAGCACCAGTGACTGAAAACCCTTGGGAAATACGGCATCAGTGAAACGGGATGCGCAACTTAAACAGTTTGAAGCCTGATCTGGCCGAAAAAACTAAGAACAACTTCTCAAAACCTCAGAGCTTGGCCTGATTTCATTGAGCATTTGGCTGGGCCATTTGTATCAACTTAGCTTCACTTTGCACTTGGCTGTTATTGTGCGGGTGACGGACGCTAACTTTTTTGTTTCAGACGCAAACCGTGGCTGATAATGAACATACAACATTAATGAAATGGGCGGGGAACTGGGCCTTTTATTGTCCTAGCCTCGCTTACCTGTTAGTACAGCCCGCAGTTGCTGGTGTATTATATGTGCAGCAGCCGTTTAAGTTCAAAATGTGTCAACAGAGAGCTTGTGTACTTTTGCACGACGACCACGAAATTTAGGACCATGATAAAAGGGGTTCGTACATACGACACGCATCGCCCTGTCACACTGTGTCACGTATGATACGTGTCACTCTCATACGTGTCACGTGGCCGATATTTTTGACACAGTTACGTTTTTAGTCTCCAAACACACCAAGATACGAAATTGCACAAGTGTGCGATCTTTCTCCATTGCCAGCAGCGATCCCGGAGAGCGAAGTCGAGCACCTGCTGTAAAAGTCATTCTCTCCGCTTTGTTGGCCAAGTAAGCCCCGACTGCTCTCCAGGATATACTGCTCCGTCGGATCCCGGAAGGCGATAGTGCAGTGCATCGGTGTTGTCACTGGAACCGGACGTGATCGCCTTAAATGCTTCAGGTTGAGGGACGATTCCATGAGTGATGCGAGCTCTTTGCTGGAGTGCTGAGCCGCGGGAAACTAAATGAGGAATTGATTAGCTAATTGCGAGGGTGTCGTGTGCGATGACCCAAAACGGGCACCTTATGGCGGTGTGTTTGCGTGAGAGGTGCTTGTAGTGTGCGTGTAGGTCATTGGGGGAAATGGATTTGTTGTTTCGCGCTTTTCGACATAGTATTATTTGGTCGGCTGTAGATGATCTCTTCGTTCATCTACACCTTACCTCATTTTATCTTCACTCATCCACTATGGTGTTACGTTTCTCGGCAATGCTGAATAAATGCAGATAACAAAACCGATTTGGTCCTGCTTCATGTCGCAAGCTAATGATAACTACTTTGCTTTGTCATTGTGTTTGTGACCAAACTTTTACAATTCCTTTGGTCCTGGCTGGCAACACCATGGGTCAGGCGCAGCATACGTGGGTTGTCGGTTTTTGACGCATCGTTTGGGCCAGGAATGTTCATGTTTGTGTGCTTGTTCGGCTCAAATGTTTATGGAACTCGTAGACAATCCTTATTCCAGACTGTAAGGAACATGGTCCCAGCCCACGGCCACAGGGTGTCATCAACCATAAATGTAGCTTCTGAGTGTGCCGCCATTTGTTCCCCGATCGTCTGCGTTTGCTTCACCATGTTCTGCTAGTCAATGACCGCCTCAGTTTCATTCTATACGACACTTTTATTCGCTCCTTTCAGCCTGACGATCGACGTCCCCTGGTGTCAGTGTACCCGTCACTCCACGTGTCAGTGTACCCGTCACTCCACGTGTCAGTGTACGTGTCACTCCCGGTGTCAGTGTACCCGTCACTCCTCGTGTCAGTGTACGTGTCAATCCAGCTGTCAGTATACCTGCCACTCCCAGTGTCCGTGCACCTGTCACTCCGGGTGTCATTTTACCGGGCTTTCCAGGTGTCGGTGTACCTGTCACTCCCGGTGCCAGTGTACCTGTCTCCTCAGGTGTCAGTGTACCCATCACTCCGGGTGTCATTATATCTGGCATCCCAGGTGTCGGTGTACCTGTCACTCCAGGTGTAGGTGTACCCGTCATCCCCAGTTGTCAGTGTACCTGGCACCCCACATGCCAGTGCACCTGGGACTCCCCGGTCCCAGTTTCAGGCTGAGCTCAGCCTGACACCCGGGTCTGGTGTCAGGCAGGTGTCGGCTACGAGCTGAGCCCGGTCCGGTGCCCGGGTCTGGTGTCACGATGCCCGGGTCTGGTGTCAGGCAGGTGTCGGCTGTCAGCTGAGCCCAGTCCGGTGCCTGGGTCTGGTGTCGGGCCTCGTGTTGGGCGCAGTGTGCCTGACACCGCCCGCGTGGCAGTCGGTCTGACAGCACGAGGTCCGTTTCAGGCTGTGAGCTGTACGCGGCTGGCGTCGGCCTGTGCGGCCTCGTCTCCATCCTCACGCTGGCCTGCATCTCGCTGGAGCGCTGCCTAGTGATTCGCCGCGGCCGCGACCGCTGGTCACTCTCCGGGCCACTCAGCAGACGGAAGTCGCGCAGGGTCAGTACTGGGGCGCGACCGCTGGTCACTCTCCGGGCCACTCAGTAGACGGAAGTCGCGCAGGGTCAGTGCTGGGGCGCGACCGCTGGTCACTCTCCGGGCCATTCAGCAGACGGAAGTCGCGCAGGGTCAGTGCTGGGGCGCGCTCAAGCGGCGCAAACGAGGAGGAGGTGGGAGGGGGGGGGGGGGGGGGGGCGTATCCAGCGGAGGTACAGAAGGGTGACCTAAACGGTAGAGCGCCAATGGTGAGACACTATTGCGTAAACCGGAGCCAACCCAGCGGGCTGACGCTGAGAGATGTTGCCGTGCCGCACATGGAGCGTGGGAGCAGAGAGATGATAAAAACAGGCTTTTGAGAAGAGATACTAAAGTCACGACCACGCCGTGGGTTCGGGAGCTCACGAGAGCGTCAAAACTAGAGGTTCGGGAGCTCACGGGAGTGTCAAAACTGGAGCTTTGGGAGCTGGCGGGAGTGTCAAAACTGGAGCTTCGGGAGCTCACGGGAGCGTCAAAACTGGAGCTTCGGGAGCTCACGGGAGTGTCAAAACTGGAGCTTCCGGAGCTCACGGGAGTGTCAAAACTGGAGCTTCCGGAGCTCACGGGAGTGTCAAAACTGGAGCTTCCGGAGCTCACGGGAGTGTCAAAACTGGAGCTCCCGGAGCTCACGGGAGTGTCAAACCCGGAGCCGGAGCTTGAAATCGATATAACGTTGGCGGCTTATGTAGCCACAGGAAACCCCGCCATCCGCGGACGCAGACGAGAGATGAGCTGATTCACGCGGTCTGAAAGTGAGATCATGAGGTTGGCAAATTGCGATTGGAATTCGATATTCGAATACACTCGAGTATTAACATCGAAATTTCGAGTTAAAAGATTGTCAGGAAAGCACAGCGGGTGGCTCGGTCTGATGCAAAATATTTAAGTGATGCATTTTTTATCGGCGGGACATATGAGGACGGCTAGCATTTACAGCGTTTAATTACACATTGAATGCTAGGTTTCAGAATTTTATGTGGCTTTTAGAATTTGGACTCTGGTTCTTAGGGTTTGGATCCACGTTTTAGGATTAGAACGTTTGCAACGTTCGTATCAATCTGAATGTTTTCGGCCCTTCCCAAACGGCAATATCAGTTCTAGCTCGAACACGATGGCTCATCGCACGCAACGCATTAGCGAACGTCTCCCAGACCATTCCTCTGGTCTCCAGAGGGCTTACTTCTGTAGGGCTTCTCCACACCGGTCGTACGTCAGCACTCCTCTTTCTCACCTGCCGTGTGTCAGCGGTCCTCCTCCACAACAACCGTATGTCAGCGATCCTCCTCCATACGGGCCGTGTGTCAGCGGTCCTCCTCCATACGGGCCGTCTGTCAGCGGTCCTCCCCCACACCGGTCGTGTGTCAGCGGTCCTTCTCTACACGGGCCGTGTGTCAGCAGTCCTCCTCCACAACGACCGTATGTCAGTGGTCCTCCTCCCCACCGGTCGTGTGTCAGCGGTCCTCCTCCACACCGGCCACCCGTGCGGTGTACCTCGCCCGCGGACTCCCCAGCGCTGCTGTTCGTGCCAGCAAGCGCCTCGCCGACATCGAGGCGTGTGTAGTCGGTCGCTGCCCGTTTGGAAGGGCGGTAAACACATTAGCCGTGGCTTGGCTGGTTCACATGCGTCGGCGAACAACCGACACGTGCTGTCTATGGCGCGGTTATGACAAGCCCGCATTCCCGGAAAATGTGCGGTGTATTTATGAATGTGTGACTTTGTTACGCAATGGAGCGTAACGAAACAGGACAATACTACCGGATTCCCCAGGCGGGAGTGAATGCAACTTTGCGAAACGTAACCCTGACAACGAACTGCTGTCGGCCGTTTCTTACTCTGCATCAATGCAAGTATAAATGGTGAGTGGATCGGCTCCGGATAGGATAGAGGGGTACAGAAATTTACCCTATAGAGTACGAGGTAAATGGTAGGGCGGGAACCAACAGATCGGAACGAAGAAAGAGGAGAGAGAGAGAGAGAGAGATGAGAGAGAGAGAGAGACAGAAAATTTACCCTCTATAGAGACGGAGGGTAAATGGTGTACGTAGCGGGAACAACAATGGAACGAAGAAAGAGGAGAGAGAGAGAGAGAGAGAGAGAGAGAGAGAGAGAAGAGAGAGCGAGAGAGAGAGAGAGAGAGAGAGGAGGAGAGAAGAGAGGAGGAGAGAGGAGAGAGAGAGAGAGAGAGAGAGAGAGAGAGAGAGAGAGGAGAGAGAGAGAGAGAGAGAGAGAGGG